CCCGCGGCCGCGGCGTCTGCGTGCTGGAACCGCGAACCCGCTTTTCTCAACCCCACTAAGGGACCCGATTTGGTCACACCGTGTGTCACAACAGCTTCTGATACTTATTTTTATTTTTTAAAGATTTATTTATTTATGCAGACAGAACTGGGGTACAGCCAGAGGTGCGGGGACAGTGAGAGGCTTCACCGGAGACAGAGTGGGGGGCAGAACAGGCCAGACCGAGTGGGGAGCAGAACAGGCCGACGGACTGCACTGCTGAGGGGAGCCGCGGGCGGGTCAGGAGAGGTCTGCCGCGCCCTGTGGGCACCTGCGCCCTGTGGTCACCTCCCCCTGCGGTCACCTCCGGGGCAGGGATCCAACTCGGGCTGTGGTGGTTGCGCTGCGAAGAGCTTCATAATGCTGCGCTTTAACCCCTGCGCCACCAGGGAGGATCCTTACAATACTTATTTTAAAAGATGAATTGCAAAATATGTTGTCCCTCACCCTGAGCACCCCAAGGAGCGCAGGTCCAGCCCTAGGATCTCGCCAGTTCAGCAGCGTGCTTAGGCGCTTACTCACGTCCCAGCCAGGAGATCAGTGTGGCTCCCAGCCCCCACGGAGTCCCCCAGTTTTGCTTCCTAACACCCACAGGTGGGAAACAGGCTCCTCACCCCGGGGGCTTGTCCCCTCGAGGGACCTCTCTGCAGTTCATCTTCCAAACGCTGGTTCCCCCCTATGCAGTTTGCAAGTTCCCGCAGTGTAGGGTGCAAGTGGGGAGACACCGAGGCCTAGGGCCACACAGCCTAGGGGCCAAGCTGGGAGAGAGGGGTGCAAAGACCCCCTCCCTGTAAGTGGAGGAAGCCCAGAGGCCCAGCCCTGTCCCTGCATCCAGGTTTGTTCCCTTCCGCAGGTGGAGGAGTGCCCCGCTGATACCTACAAAATCTCCACGAGCCACTGGCTTTTTCCTTGTTTAGTGTTTATCTTTTTCCCCCCTCGATGGCATCTAATTAAAATATATATGTATATATGCATGCATACAGAACTGGGGTTTAGACCAGAGGTGGGGGGGGGGAATGAGAAGATTCACCAGAGACAGAGTGGGGAGCAGAACAGGAGGATCTACTGCAATACTGCTGAGGGGAGCAGCGGGGAGACAGGAGGGGTCTGCCGCACCCTGGGGGTCCCTCCCTAGTGGGGATCAAACTGACACTGCAGTGGCTGCCAATGGCTTGATAGCGCGGAGATTTTACCCCTGTGCCCAGCATCTAATTTTAAAGCCTTCTGAAATGTGAACATGGGGTCCAGCACTCCGCTTCCAGAGCTTGGTTTCTATTAAGGAACCACCAAGAAAAGGAAGGCGCTTCTTGGAGAAGAGCCTGGTTCTGAACAGAGTGGGAATATACAAGACCAGATGGAGCAACAGCTGGCTAAGCCTGGAACAATTTGAGCACAAAAATAAATATTAGATTATTACCCAAAATAGGACAGTAAATACCATGGGCCCACACTAATACAAATGATAGGACAAATGGATACAAGACTCCCCTGTAGAATTCGGGGTTGTTCTGTTCTCAGGGAGGCACCAGCCCACACCCCTCTGTGTGGCTGCACCGGGACCTCTTCCCAGGACAGTGTGGAGGGGAAGGAGAAGCAGAGGCGCCTGGCCAGGGGTGACCAGGGGTCAGGGGCAGCATCGGAGCAGCGGGAGCCCTGACGCGACAGCTAAGGGCACCCCCCCTTCCCCCCCCAGCACCCACCAGCCAGTCTGACCATGAGCTAAACCAGGAAACCCAGACCAGGGTGGCCCTGCAGGACCCCCGCCAGGCCGCACAACCATCTGTGGGGGCGGAGGAGGGCAGAGCAAAGGGAAGGGCAGACGGAGCCCCAAAGGCCTCAGGGTCTCCTGGAGACCAGAGAGCCAGCCCCCATGGGGGAACACCAAAATGAGGAAATGTGATACAATGTAGACTTTGCTTAATAATAATGTAGCGATGCTGGTTTATAGTGTATCAATACTCGGAGAAATGTATCCCGTGGAAGTGTTAATTACTGAAGTGTTAACTGGGGAAGGGGACAAGGGATAGCACCGGTCAGTTGTCACTCGGTCAGTCGTGGGAACCATTGTCCATAGGATTTGAATCCTGTAAATCTAAAAGGGCCTGAAATTAGGTTCATTGAAAAATAGTGACCCAAATATGCTCTCCCTGGTGTTCAGCTGCCCAAAGGAGAGGCAAGCCAGCCTGTACAGAACTGAAGGGGAGCAGTGCCCTCCCCTGGAGCAGAGGGGCACCCCGCCATGCCCCAGTTGGGACATGCGGCCCAGAACTGGGGACAGTAAGTTCCCCTAGCGCGGGGCACATTATCACAAAAAATGACTTCTTGCTTTTGGGAAGTTGGGGGTTGCGCCTAGTCCCTGAGAGGGACCAGCAGTGCAGCAGTGTGCCCACATTCTTGTGCTCCCCAGGGGTGTCACAGGGCTGTCAAAGGCCTGTAGCCCTCATGACCCGACACAAGCATACCGTGAGCACCCCCGCCCTGACCCAAACGAAAACCCCACACAACCTGAGACCAGAGCACCAGAAATTTATTGAACACTCTACTTTTGCCAGCATAAACAAGCCACACGCACACGGACTGGGGGTGCCCCCCTGCTCTTGCGGGCCAAGCCAAGGTGGCCAGCCACCAGGACACCGAGATAATGGCCCGGAGCCAAGCTGGAGGGAAGAGGAAGAGGCAGTCCCAGGGCAGAGACTTCTGGCAGGAAGTCCTGGACCCCCAGGACACAAGGGGAGAAAGGTGGGGGAGGGGCATGTGGCGCAGGCAGGGCCCCAGAGTCCAGTCCAGGCACTGGGGGGAGGGCACACATCCCCACAGTGTGCAGAACCAGCCCTTAAGACAGCTTCCGTCTGGTTGCGGCCACACGCATGCACACATGCGCACACAAGACACAATGCTCCTGGGGGCAGCGTCCCTGAGAATCCCCCCTCCAAGTCAAACACTGGAAGGGGTCAAGTAGGGACTGCAGTTTTTGGTTTTTCTTCCCAAAAGGAAAATTTTAAAATCTACAACAAATCACACCCAATTTATTAAAAGTGATAAAAACCTAGCCTCTCTCGCCTCACTTAAGCTTCTGACTGGGCAGAAAAAGCTGAATGAATGAAGAAGAAACATGAAGTGACCGGGCCAGGTCTCCCCACCCAAATACAAGTCCCAGGGTGGGCAGCTATAGGGCCAGGGCAGCCCAGGACAACCCTTGCTGCCAACGTTTATCTGAGACAGCTGGGCAGGGAGGTGGCCAGGGGAAGAGAAGCCACCCCAAGGGGAAGAGCAGGTTTCTAAGGACAAATTCTAAAAATAATAAAATAATAAAAATATTTCCGTGGAGGATCGCGAGGTCCTGGCACTGGGCAAGGTGGTGGGCCGGGGGACTGAGGACTGTCATCAGCTGCGTTGCTCCAGGTAAGCTGACAGCAGCAGCCCTGGGGGCAAGAAGTCCAGGTGCCGATTGCTGACCTTCATCTGTCGCTTGCCCTCCAGGTCAGCACCTGGGAGAGGGGCAGGAGGAAGAGGAAGGATCCCTGAAGGGCAAGGCCCTGAGCCCCTCCCTGCCAGAGGTACTGTAAGCTCCACCTTGGGTCTGGCCCGCTATAGCCCCGGAGCCCCAGGGTCAGCTCACAGACCAGCCCTGAGAACGTCCCACCTCGTTTCAGCCTCTGCTGCCTCAGGTTTAGATGGCCGCACTGACACACAGGCCGTGGCCAAGTGGACAGGTCACAGGGCTCGAACAAGCAGGCCAGCCCCTGCCCGGTCTCCTCACTTCCATCCCAGGCCTCAGGGTAACTGAAGCAGCCAGGCCTTGGGTGGTCCGGCCGGCCCCCCTCCGCTCCTTTGCCTCCCCTCACTCCAGCAGGAGCGTGCCGTGCCCAGCCGAAGCTCAGTTCCCTCAGAATCTCTGCCCAGGCCCTGCCTTTGCCAGCCCCAGTCGCACCCCTCCATCCCGAGTCTGTGAGAACCGAGATGCACCTCGCCCCCCCACGGGTCATCCGGCCCGGCCATCTTATCGGCACTCCAGGCAGGACGCAGAGACAGGCCTGGGAGTGTGGGCGCCAGGTCGCTCCCTGGAGGTCGTGTCCCCAAGGATCCCCACTGTAAGAGGGGACACAGGCCCAGGAGGGCAGGCCTTGCCAGGATCACCTGTGTGTAAGCTGTGGGGAGACGACTGCGTGGCGCGAACCCGGCAAGCACTGGGGTCCCCTCATTTCAATTCGGGGTTTGTCGAGACCTGGCTTCATCACCCCACACAAGCCCATCTCTCCCCCGACCGGATGCCAATTGAGGGGCGCCGCATGTCAGGGACTCGGGCAGCTTCTTGAGAATTGATGCCGCCGCCCTTCTGCTCCTCCCCCAGAAGCCTCCGCTGCCGAAACTCCGTTTCCAGGGCGGAACCAGCCAGCCCGGGAGTGGGCCTGCGGGCACTTACTGGCTGAGATGAGGTCCATGTACTGGCACACAGCGTGAAGCAGGAGCCTCTCGAAGCTGTGGAGAACTGGCAGTGAGTGGCTACCTCTGCTGCTGGCCACCAGAAAGGGGCAGCTAGCCGTGCCCACTCCACCCAGTACCTGTTGTCCAGCATGGCTGTGTACACAGACTGGGGGGACACGGAGAAGAACCTCAGCAGTCGCTCTTCCCAGGTCTCCAGAATTTCCTGAAGGGGCGACGGGACAGGGGTCAGAGGGACTGTGGGACCCTGGCCTAGTTGTCCAGGCCTCCCCGGGCGAGGGGGACCCTCCGGAGCCCGGAGGTTTGGGTTCAAGCATGGTCTGTGACCTGCCGCAGGCTACTTAACTATGTCCAAGGATACCAGACACTTAGACCCCCTGGATCTTTAAACACCTGCCCGGACAACTCCTGTACACCCCGCAGGGCCCACCTTCACTGCCCTGCCCCTCCATCCTCGAGAAGAGCCTTTGCCAGAGACCCGTCTGGCTCCCCCCCACAAGTCCGTACCCCAGGCAGTCTCCCGGAGACCACCCCTGCAGGTTGCCAGCCTCCCTACCTTCCTTGATTGATTGCGAAACCAGGTCGTGCACACAGACTAGTTAGGTGGGGCGAGACAAGCCGGCCTGGGACTCACCATGGGGATGCGGCTTCGCTTCAAGATGGCCCGCAGACGCCGGCTGATGCGCTGGAAGCACTCGCGGGGCGTGTAGGCTGGGTCCTCTGCAAGAGCCCACAGGTCAGCTCCTCCCAACCTGCCTCCAGCTCCACACCAGGCTCCGCGCCCCCCACCCCAGACTCTCCTCCTGGCACCATGCCCCCAAGACGGGCATACAGGCCGGCGTGGGCATGGGCCCACGGCCCCACCCCCGGCCTCTGCCTCCTCCCCCCAGGCCCCGCCCTGCACCCTCACTCACCAGGCCCCACCCCCGGCCTCTGCCTCCTCCCCCACACGCAGGCCCCGCCCGCCTGGCCCCGCCCCGGCCCCTCCCTCAGCGGCGCTGGCGCTGGCCAGGCCCCAGCCCTACCTGCCCACCTCCCACTCCCACAGGGGCCCGCACCTCTCCGCCGGTCCTCCCCTCGGGCGGGGCCCCTCCTCCGCGCCTTAGTCTTGCTCTCATCCTCCAGGTAGCGGAGAACCCGCTCCTGCTCCTCCCCTGAGCGGTTCATAAAGTCATTCCAGACCTGAAAGAGGCAGGCAAGCCGTGGGCAAGTGACTGCGCACCTGGGGGCCCCATTTAACATCCCCCCACTTCGCCGATGGGGAAGGAGGGCCACAAGGGCATGCACACAGCCCTTGCGGACCCCTTTGCCCACCGGACTGGCAGGGATTCACGCCCCGAGATGGATCAACTACCCCCAGATGAGTCATTCATTTCAAGTGTGAGGAGCAGATGAATCCGGGTGTGGGAGGTTCTGACCCAGCAGGGGGCCCTGAAGGTGACTGGGGTGCGCATCCAGGACAGAGGGGTGTTTCTGGGGGAAGGCCCGGCCGGGCAGAGCCAGGTGGGGAGCAGGAGGGTTTCGGGGCTCACCTCCACATAGGTCTCATTGTTGCAGGCCTCTGCGAAGATGCCAGGTGCCGCTGGGGGTGCCAGGTCCCCCTCGTCTGGGCCAGGTGTGCCCCCATCTGTCTCCAGCAGGGTCAGGAGGTACTGGGCTGGATGGAAACAAATCATCTCTGGCCAACGGGGCAGCGCTCGGGAGCCCAGGGCCCGTGGGGACCCCAGCGCCGTCTTCCCCTCTCCCTTTGGCCTCAGTTCCTCGGTGGCCCCCCGCAGCTGCTCTGGGGCTCCCACTCTGTGGCTCACCAGCGCGCCCTGCCATGAAGCCAGGCTCTGCCCCAGAAGGCTCAGCCTCCGGACTGCCACCTCCCAGGCTGAACTCCTGCACACCGGCTAGAGCCCACCTGCCGCCCGGGGCTCCCTATGCCCAGCGCAGGACCTGGCCACGCAGGCTGCCTGCTGCGCACCACTCCGCCCCACCCCGAGGCGCGCCCCATCCCCGCTCACTGTTCTCCAGGCGCTGCAGGCTCTTCCGCCCCTTGGCCTTGGGCACAAGATCCGAGTTCCGCACGGCCTGGTTGATGAAGTGCTGCTTCCGCCTGGAAGCCGAGAGCCTCTTCACCTGCGTGCCAGCTAGAGTGGGCAGGCAGCCCGGAAGGGGCCTGTGGGCCAGGGAGGGGTGGGGAGCTGTCTCAG